GGGATGAAGATTTGAGACATTGTTTGGGGGAAATAGGTGAGAGAAAGGAAGTGAAAGTCAGTCCTGTACATACTCCTAGGAAATTCAGGCATGGCAAGGTGAGTCTTGTCCTCAGGCTGCCACTACCACAAAAACAAAGCAGAAGACTATATGTAGAAGTTTGTCTTCCCAGGTGATGACCCCGATTCAGAGGCAACTCTATTCCTGGGTGAGCTATTGAGATCAGGTCTGATCTAAAGTTTTCCATCCAACCTTTTGATACAAAGTTGGGTTTTCAACAACATGTACACCCCTCCACCTCCCCAAAAGTGTCTGATTTCTACAGAAAGTTGCCTTTAAAAAAAAATAGGGGAAATCTGAAAATCCCCAAAAAGTTTATTTGGAAATGCTGATGTAGTATGTAAATGCCCCATTTCTCTCTATAGGTTGGGTTCCCAGACCAACTACCTCTCATGATACAGCACCATCAGATACTTTCCATATTTACCACAGCAACATAGCAAGAGGGGAGAATAGTGCATCATGGGATATGTAGTGTGGCCAAGGAGCCCTAGCCCACGGACAATGGTTGCATGGGATATGTAATTTGTAGTTTGGGTGAGGCACTGTGGTGACATTTCCAAATCAAAAATGTGGTTTTAAGTCAAAAGGTTTTTGGCTAATGAATAATTTTTCCGCCACAGAAGAACCCTTTCCCCATTTTCCAACCAGCTGTAATTGAGATGTTTAAATTACACCTGAATTGTATGTGGAGTAGAAGGAGTTCAGGTTTATACAGCAAGTATGGAGGAAAACAGTGTTTTCCTCATGAAACCACTCAATCTACCCTTCCGTTCAGACAAGTAAATGCATAAGCACAAGCAAATGAGACAAATATACCAAAGAAGAAAGGACAAAATGAGGAGAAATGGGGTATAAAAATGGAGGGGTTCCATTTGTTTAAAAAAAAATCTGCCCATCCTTTAATTAGAAAGCCCTTCATCGCCATATTTGGGGTCAGGAAGGAATTTTCCTCCAGGGCAGATTGGCAGAGGCCCTGGGGGGGGGGTTCGCCTCTCTCTGCAGCCTGGGTCACAGGTCACTTGCTGGAGGATTCTCTGTACCTTGAAGTCTTTAAGCCACAATTTGAGGACTTCAATAGCTCAGACATAGGTTAGGGGTTTGATACAGGAGTGGGTGGGTGAGATTCTGTGACCTGCATTGTGCAGGAGGTCAGACTAGACTATCATAATGGTCTCTTCTGACCTTAAAGTCTATGATTCTAGGATTGTTATCAGTTCTGTCCTCAAGCAACATCTGAAGGCTACACCAAACACCCTCCCTTAGCTTTTTAGCTCTTCAACACCACCACTTCAGAAATAATGTGGCTTGAAGAGCAGGGTTACTTACC